AAAGCGCTAGTGCCTGCGCCAGGAGTCTGGGCGTCGAGAACCGAGTGGCACCGGGGTGTCCCTTCCCGGAATCAGAGTGCGTCACCTTCCATCCCGCACGTCCGCCCGCGCAAGTAGTCGCCCCCCCCCCTCCCGCCTGCACCCCGCCCCGTGCTGGCGCGCGTGCTCCTATGCACGTCTTTTGAGAGGCCGGGTTATTTCCGATGGCTCGCCATTAAAATAGGCGCTTTATAATCCGCCGACACATATTTGCCAAGCGACTCGCGCTTTTTCAGAAGAACGGAAAGTGTAAAAGAGGAAGTTTCCTTTTCACTAGGCAAGCCGGCACGGGATTTTATCTTGAAGTGATATTTTTAAACGAGGGAAAAAAAAAAGTTAAGTAAACGAGGTGAATGCTAGATAGTACAGCAGCTGGATTTTTTTTTAATTCAACACGATACTCGCAGAACATTACAGAGGAATTCGTTCTCCTTCTCTCACACTCTCAAGTTCACACACCACGCACACAATCTCTCACACGTTCTCATTGCTGCACACACAGTGTAGCATGGACATCGTCTCAGAGTTCCACGTATACACCCTTATCTCGCGCACACTTTACTCCATATGTGTCGGGCGCGTTCACACACACGCACACACCCACACACAGACTTTGTCATTAGCGCGTGCGCACACATCCTCACACTCTCTTAGTCTCTGCATGTGCTACAGCAAGCTTAGTTTTGGAATCCTTGGGTGTGTAATTATTTCGCCCTGGAGTGCGGCGGTGCGGCGGTGCGGTGGCGGTGGCGGTGGCGGTGGCGGTGGCGGTGGCGGTGAAGGTGAAGCATGTGGGAGCGCCGCGTAGGCAAACCGGCCTTTGCTTCTTCGTTTTTCGCGCCTGGACGTTACCGACACTTCGCTCCGCGCCCAGCTCCACATTACGGCCATGGACACCGGAAACCGCAACATGTTCCTTTTACAAAACATTTACCCCTTTACCTATTTTGAAAAACATTTATCCGCCACTGGTGATGCCAGCGACGGAATACTTGAATATCCTGTAAAATTAGTGATAAAATACATGTCAGTTACAAATGAAAAATTATTCAGGTTCACATCATTATTGAGCAGAATTGCATTCATAACTTTACCTAAAAATTTGTTTAATGATAATGAGATGAAGTTTCATGATTGTGAGCCGAAGAATTCAGTTCTAATTTTGCGATTCAATGAATTTCAAGAAACAAAAACATGACAAAACATTTACGAACTGCATGCAGCAGTTCAATAGGTAATTCAAGGGTGCGATAGATGTCTTAGTTCTCACAGACGAATCACAAGTCCAATCCGTGAATAACCTGAATGTGTTTTTTAGAAGAACCCAGCTTTGCTTACGATCAACTTTATGTAGGTTCTTCTGATGATAGAAAGAAAGAGAGAGAGAGAAGTTTTGGAAAATGACTCTCTTGCTCAAAGCAATTTGATGGCAAAATATATAGACGAGAGTTGGGGCAGAAGTCATTGAAACTATTTTTTTTTCTTAAAGAAAGGTTATTGAATCAGACAATTGCATTGCCACTTGAAATAAATGTTTTTTTTTTTTTAAATTTGCGTTCATAACAACAAATGCGAGTGTGTCTTAGCACAGAGAGCAATGCGAAATCAGTTGCAGTTGTCTGACTGCCGCCGTGCGAGATGAACGTAACCCGTTTCGAGCAGCGCTCAATAGAGGGAGAAATGCCAGCGTGTGCCACAGAAAATTGGCGGAAGCTCTTGGGAATGATGCCCTTCCATACCGGACCGTTGGGGGGTGGGCAGGAGAGTTTGCGAGGACGCGAACGAACCAGCGATCGGCAACGCACGTGACATGAGTGGCCCGGACAGTCAGTGAATCGTCTAATCGGGCATTTAGAACGGATTTATAATGCTTTTGGAATGCGAACTCGTACTCGCTAAAATGCTTGGACCATGAAACCAAAACTGTGATTTCAAATATCGTAATAAATATGAGAAACACAATTTTGGTGTGTCGTTAAGTGTCCAAGCATTTAGATCATACCTCGTCCTTTCATTTGTGTATTACACATTTTCCACCTATGCTCACCTCTTCACAAAATAAATAATTGCCAAGATTGATGCCCCGACCCTCGCGTGCGTGCGTGCGTGCTCGCTCGTAAATGCCTGTCGAAATAAGTTTTAAATGCATTAAATTTTGTGTTTAAGAATTATAAATATTGTTTTTTATTCGTTATTATTATTGTGTGGGATTGATTTTCCCCCGTCATTTTTCAAGTGTTACCCACAGTGTTTTTATGTATTTGCTTAAAAATCTGCCATGGCTTAGTCATGAATTTTTCCAATTGTCAATTGGATAAAGGACCAACATGGCGTTGCAAGATGCTTCATTCATAACTCCACTTTCTTTGTATGATTAGGTGAAAAACAAGAAATGTAATCAAATTTACAATTTTTTTTAATTAAAAAAATTATTAAAGAAATATGTTAATCTGTTAATATCAAACTGAAGTGCCCTGGGTTGTTCCTTTGGTATTCATTTTACATAATCTACGAGATGTCTTTTATCGGAACCATGCCTGTTGCCCACTTCTATCTCTTCTAGTTCATCCGTGCCCCACTTGGCCTTGCTCCCCGATGTCCCTTTCCCCAAAACCCCAGGTCTTTTTCACTCACTTTGTAACTAAAATAATTAAGAAATGTATATTAAAAGAAGAAAAGAAAAATTATTTTTTTACTCACTTCTGTGCTTTTTGTGGAGTTGTATGTATAATATCAATACAATAAAGCCCTCTTCCGGACAAAAATCATCCAATCTGTCACAATTTTAACATCAACTTATGTATTTACAAATTCTTGATTTACCTTTTTCTCTTAATTTCATATCTCTTGTACACGTAATTCGTTCACGCATAGAAGCCATTTAAGCCTGAGAACCCAACTTGACTTCAGAAACATCATATAACTAAATAAAAACTGGCAAAGGTTATAATTTGCAAATAGAAACTGTTCACAATACAAAATTGAATGTAAAATAAACAATCGCTCACTAGAGATATACATTTTCAATGTTTCAATTTGCAGTAAAATTCTTAATTAATATATTCTTCTATTACGTTTTGTACTTCTACTGAAATGCCTCTAAACAACAATTTGACAGCTATGGTTCTCTGCTTTCAATTCACTTGTTTGATATTTTTATTTGAACAGCAGGTAAGCTACCAACACTGTGTTGTTGTGAAAACTCTGAAACAAAATTTTTTAAAACTAATTTTAGTGTCACGCTATAAATCACACATACTCTGTTTGATTCTTGGTCACTCACAAGTATTTGTGCCAAATTTTGGAGTATTTCACTCCAATGGTATTAATTTGTTTGAGATGTGTGCAATTGTAAACAATTTTACTTTTATATAATAGATTTGTAAGATGTATTATTGCATACTATGCATCAAAATCCTGAAACTGATGCAAGTTCTTGCGCCATATCTTGAACTGAAATAGTATTGCTTCTCTCAAAATCGTGAGTTTCAGAAGAAATAATTTAGGGTGAAATTTGTTTGTGGGGATAACATTTTTACCTGTATCATTAGAGAAAAAGTAGTTCCTACATTTTCAAAAACATAATTATACACAATATGTAATAATACAAACTACTAAAAAACATTATCCTCCTTTGATTCTTAAATAGTATTCTTTCGTTGTTTAAAGAATGTTGTCAAGGAGAGATGAACATTCACTGCCAGATTCGAAAATTGTGGTAGCAGTGAAATAAACTTCTTGTGGTACTGTCATAAAAATCTTGCTCCCCAGACAATAAAATTGTTGTTAATATTGCCATGATTAAAGAAATAAAATTGTTTTAAGAAATTTGCTTCATTGATATTTTCTTGCCCAATGAAACACTGATAAAATTATTACATACACCATTGATAATAGTAATTGCAATTTTTAAGACCTATTTTATTCCTTTGGAGTAAATTTTGGGTTAAAAGTTGTCCCATCACTTAAATTATGGAAGTAGGTGAAAAGTGAATAATTATGTTTTCAGCAATGGTGTAATTCCAAATAAAATTTATAAACTGATTGGTGGGCAGAATCATTAGTAAATTTGTCGTAGAGTATTAACAATGAATGCTAGGTTGAAAATGGGGAAATTGCTGATCCAAAGTACACTAAGTATGTTAGAAATTGGATTTTACAAATAAAAGAGAATGCAATACAATCTTTTGTCAACCCAGGCAGTGATTAAATATCACCAATTTAGGCATATATACATTGAATATATGTTGCTTTCTTTGTTTTGCAGAATTCCATTTTCTACTTAAACATTTTCCTGAATTTCTGTCCTCAAAAAGATTACTCCTCTGGTTGGTTTAACACGGTTATGATGATAGTTATTGCAGGATCACACTGAGGCCTGTGAAATAATTGTTCATTGTTTTTTCTTATCTCGGAAAGATTATGTTCTAGTCACCATACTTTGGGACCTTATTGGGGCTAGAAACCTGACCAAAGTGTGGGGTTCTATTATTATTATTAAAATATTGCACACAAGTTATCAAGATTTATATGAAAATAAAACTATTACTTTCAGAATTAAAATAATAAATACTATGTACATGTAATTTAAAACAATTTTATTGTATATTTATGACATTGATTTAGGAATTCTTTATCTGTTTCAAAACCTGAATAGTTTAAACATTTTATTACATATTTATTATTACACTTGAATTTACTATAATTGTTACAACAGTTTATAATTACTTTTTTATTATAAACTATTATAAATTGTTGATAAAAATATTGGGGGAGGGGGCATAAGTTTGTGCTTAGTCTGCTTATAAATTCACTCATGGCACTTATTGCAAGACAGTTATATTATATTAAAATACATCTTTGTAGGTATCATAATCAGATAAATTAAAAAAGAAAGATTGAGCACTTATAGAGGGAATAAGTAAAAATATTTTCAATAACCACAATTTCTTTTGTTTCAGGGCATGAAGCCTTCTGCTGCTGAATACTGGCTTTTAAAGGAAGTCTCGTACCTAGATAATTTTGGAGAAGAGATGTTTTACAGTAAAACATGCAGTGGAGGAATGGCAGTTGGCCTAGGTGTTGGTCCTCATGGCATTACTATATACCAAAGCGATTCCAGTGAGAAACAAAGGTAGTTTTATTCATTAATATTTTTTATGACTTTAAAATAAATGAAAGAAGATCACTGTATTTCTAATTCCTTTTGCTTTAACAGTATACCATACACTGCTATTCAGAGTGCAGCATCACAGAGAAGATCTTTCCACTTAACATATCTAAGCTTGGATGGTGATGAAACACTTTTGGACGTTAAGTTGGAGTCCTCTCAAGTGGCAAGTGGTTTATACCGAGCCATTACGGAAAAGCATGCTTTTTACAGTTGTGAAACTGTTCGTAGTGCTGTAACAGCACAGTTCATTAGGGATCTCAAGGTAAAATAGTTTTTACAAAATTATTGGTTTCCTCTGACTGTAGTTTTTGGAATATTAGATGACAAATGGTTTGATTGTGCCAAAAGTCGCTATTGTTTCATGTGTGATTTTTGTTTAGGGGACAATTGTGTCGATTTTCAATGAAGATACATCTCTTGGAAAGAAATATGTGTTTGATATTCAACGTACCTGTCGAGAAGTTTATGATAATGCCCGCCGAGCATTATATCAGTCCGGGAGCAGCCTGTTTCCTCCTCCAGAAGAGAGCATGGATGATGAGTGCACTAAGTCCCCAGAGAAGTGTAAGGATTGTTCTGGGCAGCAATGCAAAGTGAGTATTTCTGAAGTGATCCTCCCCTAATTATGCATTAGGCTTAAACATGAAATCTTGAATTTGCGTTTTTAATATCCATTTTCATTCCATGTATATATAACATTCAGTTGTTGGTGTTGTTTTTTTCTTTTTTTCCTTTTGAAATTCAAGTATTTTGGTGTTAAAGTAAGGCAGTTCCTTTTTTAAAAAATGTTGGCAAAATGTAAAGAAATATTTTAAAAATTGCGTGTTCAGTCAATTAATTATATACTGTATTGTGTTAATTGGAATGGAATGAATGGTTATAAGGTTTTTTTTTTAGTTTTATAGTGTGTTTTGAACTAGTGAAAATATTGTGTCAGTAGAGGAGGAGTTACTTTCTTTTGAACTTAAATTATGTGGAAGTTTGTATAGTATTGGCAAGAAAAACATTACATATAAGAAAATATTTCTTACTACTGCAAAGAATGGAAATAAAATGACCATTGTTAATGATAAGTTATCACAACATTGCAAACATAATTTAACATTTTTATAAATTACATTTTGACTGGTAAAAGAATTGATTACCCCAACTGGGAATCAATCCCAGATGGTATACACCCAGTTACTCTAACCATGTAAGCTACCAACACAGTCAACTATTTGAAGAGCTTTAGGGAGATAGCCCTGGATGGATATACTATACATTTCACCATCTGCTCACAGTTGGAAGTTTAGCAACTATGGGAAGTTTGTTGCAGTTCAACTAACTTTTGACACTATATTACATATGGAGATTTGTTTGCATGTGATCTCAGTTTCGACTACGGAAAGTTCAAATTTACTTTTACTATTCCAGTTAGTTGATTTCTTCTCTTGGATAATATTTTGTTAATTTGGTATTATGTAGTGCTAGTAATAATATATAACTTGAGTTAATTGGTATATTTTCGGATTACACGGGATACTTAAATTCAACATTGGATTTTGGTACTGGAGTCAATTGCAATTTGCAAATTGGAATTAGGTATAGTAAAACCTCTGAAAGCAACTCGCCTCCTCAGTTAAACAAACAATTCTCTCAATGACAGATTTTTCTTGGAATTGACACTTAATCCCAAATATTGTAAATTTTATTAATTTACTGTTTATGAGAGCCTGCTTTCAGGAAAATTGTTAGAATTCTGTATACTAGGTATTCAGTAGCTAAAATTAAAATTTATGTAAATGGCATTTGTGTGATATATCCTGTGTCTGAGCTTCAATCCTCAATGAAATCTGGGCAGGAGGGATATCAGAAATTGAGTAGTCATTGAAATGGTCCCACAGCTTCTTGCTCCATTTCTTATAGTGTTGTAGAAATGAAAGTAATCTACTGAACCTTAATTCTTTGCATTAATGCAGCTATCCTTCCCTTACTTTACCTTCCTGGAAGTACATCTAGTGTGGTAGAATATCAATATCAGAAGTCAGGTTTATTGACATGCTCAGAGAAAGCAATATGAGTTCTTTTATATGCATTTAAAAGTATATAGTAAATGGATACTTTTATGTACTCATAGATAAAGTTTTCCTTGTAATCATGCTATTCTGAATCTGTGGAAGAAAAAGCTTTGTTTGTAAAACATTGTTCTAATAAATTTAAAAATCAAATAACATCAATCCTAGTTTCACTTTGTGGTGAATTACCCAATAGGTCTAATTATTCAGAATATATCAGGGGTTTTCTGGAATCCTTTACTACAACCTGTTTATTTCTAAAAGCTTGTTAATAAGGATCAAAGAGGGATACATGCAAATTAATTTTTATCATTGTAGACTTGGTGAAACTTGAGAATCAATAACACACTGAATATAAGGAATCGTATTTCTGCTGAACCTTTATTTATGAAAAATTATTTCAATTTTTGAAGGTAATGAAATTCTAGTAAGAATTTTATTTCTACTTTTCCAGTCTTCACAGAAGCAATTGGTGCGCCTCCTTGAAGCAATGGCATGCCGTATATGCATGGACAGAGCCATTGACACTGCTTTCTTTCCTTGTGCTCATGTGATGGCATGTGGAGAATGCGCAGCCAGGTGCGAGCGCTGCCCCCTCTGCAGAGCCCAAATTGAGCAGTCACGGCGCATCTACCTTCCCCTAGAACTGCAACAGCAGCAGTTGCCAGAAGTAGTGGAGGTGCAGGCTGGCAAGCCCAGCTAAGTGAGAGAACTGTACTCTCAAGCTCCTCATGCTTGAGTTTAACATCTCAGTTGCTACTGCTTTTAGAAAGACTGGGTGGTACCTGTTTCTACTATTTTAAGTCAAATATTATTTTAAGTGTAAAGCTTCCCAATAGTTCTTCCTGAAATTTTTAAATTATTTTTTTGTTCTTCAATTTCTTTAACAGATGGTGGGACAAGTTAAGGACATGGAATGGTACATTTGGGAAGTTTTACTTCATTCTTGTACAAAGAGACCTCACAGAGGGAATACATGTTCAGTTATTAAAAACAGTATTGTGTTAACTAATCTGTGTTAAATGCGTATTTCATTAGTGATGAAATGAGAGGCAATTTTGAGGAATTGCTTTGTGTTTTTCATTATGTGTTAAAGGTTAAAAAAATGTACAGCTCCAATGTCTTGCTACCTGCACTTTGCACACATGCTTTTTTCAGTAAATGCTATTTAAAGTAATTGTAATATTTAACAGAATGGGGAAAAAAAATTCTCAAGCGAGCAGTACATAGTTTGTGGTTATCAAGGAACAGTATTTGTTTTATGATTTAAAGATTGTGTGAAACAGTTTTTATAAATTTTGATGTGTTAATGACCTTAATTGTGATTCATGTGTGCTTTGTAAGAACTTATCTCCTACAAATTTTATGAAAATTGACTACTAATTGTTCATGGCATCATTGTGTACACAGCATTTGTAGAGCAAAAATGTTACCACTTTTTGCCGTTTTTAAATATTGGTTGCCATGAAAATATTCCACAAAATGAAAATAGTAATGCATTGCAAATGAAAGAAATCTGCACTGTCCATTTTTTTCTCTTATCAGTATTTTGTACTGTGCGGTTTGAATTCTTTCTTTACAAGTTTCCTTCTTAGTGGGGTTTACAAGTATTGAGGATAGTTACATCCAATAATACACTTGCACCATGGTTGCCTTGTCTTGCACTTATTAAAAGGTACTTAATATGCAAGTACTAAAAGGAGTGAGAATAAAAATGAAAAGAAGTGTACATTAACGTGGGAGTGGAATCTCAAGTTTGGAGAAGCATGTGTGGTTTTAATCTGCTCCAAGTGAAGTACAGTTTTGGTTTGCAAGTGCAGATAAAAGAAGAAAGTGACTTCTGTGTTCTTGTGATTAGATGATTCCATTCTGCCACTTTTTATTTCTTGACATGGATATTCCAGTATTTCTGTTGCACAGGGTTACCTCTTCAAAAAAATCCTTCTTTTTTTTTTTTTAGTTTTACCTCACATTTTGGTTGTGAAACTGTGATTGGTAGAGTATTTCTGCTTCCACTTTGTAGTATTTATCATTTTAAGGATGTGAAAGTGTGAGTGTTGTATGATGATGTGTGATGAGTTTAATTTAATGTTTTATTTTCAACTGTAAGTTATGTGCTATGCATATAATTTTACAAGATTCCTTAAAGAGGAAATTTTTATTGAATTTTTTTTTGTGAGCCACAGTGTTCATACCCAAGTTAAAAAGTGTAATCTTCAATATAAAATTTGCAATTAAAGATCAGTGCACTTCAGTTGTAGAGTACATGTTCATTTTTTTTGGACAGAAATTTCACTATTTTCACGAGTTCTTCTGGAACTGATGCATGATAATTAATAGATGCTTGTAAATGTCAACTGTATATACATATATATATTGCTGTAACGCCGCTGGCTATTGCAGTTTAATAATTCTTCCTGATAAATCAGGGCATGTACAGTGTATCTAGAAATTAATTAATAGAGCTGCAATTATTTGTATATTCAAAATAATAGACTGCATTTGTTTTAGGCAAGCAGCAACAAAATATACTGTAATATTATTGAATTAAAATGCCAATCTAATTCCATATCCTGTCTTTAGCTAATTGTACCTTCTATTTGTGTGTTCCCTTTTACTGCTTCCCTTTGCGCTAGAATGCACGACCCCAAATTTAATTCTTTATAGAAAATTTGAACTATCTTCAGGTAAGTTATTGGCTTCTCAAACATGAGTTCTTGTCAGATCACAGATCTACTTCATTTTGCACAATGACATGAGAAATATTAATATAAGCTTTGCTTTAACATACTTCTATTTGAAATTAATTGTTAAAATATAAAAAAAAATTAAAAATCCTCATGGTCAAATCCTCATAAAATTGAATTTCCAAATCTGACAAGTCGTTGGTGGAATTTTTGTTCCTAGTAATTACTACATAGTTTGGGAAGTATAGAAGCAAAGGTAGATATAATTCGGCTATAATAGGAAACGAACTAAGAGCAAAAGAACAATACTTTGCTGAACTTAGGCCCGCACACCTAACGTATTGAATGGAGCTCATCAATGCATTGTCTTTGGAAACGGGACGTGGGCAACATCGCAGCACCACAGGTTTCGCGAGTATACAGTAACAGCATCCTAAAATTATTCACACAACTCGATGAACTTATTCTGCAGTTGTATCCCTGATATTTCGTGATCGATAGGAAAAACTATTTTCTTTGAACGAAAACAAAAGTATTGCACCCAGCAAACAGCTGGAAACTATTTGCGTACAAACACGTTCATTGTGCCCAGTGATCATCACGGAACTTTTATCTGTAGAATTGTGGGAATGAAATTCTACTAATTCGTAACATGGCCGCGTTGTAAGTCGACTTACGGCGCTGAAAACGGAGGTAGTTGTCCTTATTCGTATTTTGTACGTAATAATAATTATACCATAGTGGTGGTACTGGGTCAAATGAAATATCATTTTAAAGATTTTTTGTGGTATTATAAGTGCTACTCGTGCGACAACTGACGTACGGTTTGCCTGCTCCTTGTTGGACGTATGGCAGCCCTCGAATGAGATAACGAGTAGAAAGTGTCGAAACTTATTTATTCCTCATATTCCTCAACCAAAGCCGTAACAATTCACTCATTGTTTTAAAATTCCCGAAAAAACAAAATTATTCTTTTTTGTTTGTGTTAATGGCTCACTGTTCACCATTCAAAGTACACTTCAAAGTGTGCTAAGCAATCTTGGGGTGTTGCAATAGCCTTCTGCTTTCAACCAAATTATTTCCTAACAGGCTGGCAATATCTTCAAGATATTGAACTGTGTTGCCTTTTACGATTTGAATAAATACCGGTGATTAATTGTGATTTGCATTAGAAGCTTCAACTGCTGTGATACATTGTCACCTGAGTAAGACATTTTTGTTCTAGTGTTGTTATTAATCTATAAGTCTGGTTTTACATATCTGTTGTGAAAGTTCATTCATTAGCTTGTAATCTGTATAATTATGAATCTGTGTAGTACCTTGTTTCATAAATAAGTATCATCTTGTAGAGCTCAATTGTACAGTAATAGTGCAAGTTAAGTTGTAACTTTTAAAGAACAATGCGTGATGAAGTACAGGTCAGATATATATATTTTGAAAACTTGAAATTAAATGTCACCTTATATGATTTGTTAAAATTTAGTATGATGTAACAGAATATTACTATGTAGATTGTAATATTCCTATTATTTAGGCTCTTTTTAGACTTAAGGAGTACTTATACTTCGTACTTTTGTGGATATTCTGTGTTAAGAACCATTTGTGATCTCATTGTTAAAACTTGTTATTTTGGATCTTGCAGGTACTGTTTGAAAGAGGACACTGCCAAAATGCTTCACTTCCATGCCTGCTCTCCTAAAAAAGTTCCTCTTTTGGCCTCTCATCGAAGAAGGAATCGCAAGAAACTGCACTGTTTAAATAACACAACTCAATGAGTTATCTATCATTTGTTAGTGAACTTGTTTGTTGACTCAAGTTCTGGAACCCCCCCGGGTTCTTTGTGTGTATAAGCATTTTTCAGTGTGTAGTTGTGTAAAGTTGTTTTACAGTCATGGAAGAAAGTGGAATTTTATTTTTTTAAAGTAACTTAAACAAGATGATTTTCATGGGAATTTGTACAATGATACAAAAATTATGAGAAGTATGGTTTGTTTTTGGAACTGTTGAATAATGTTTAAGAAGAATGTGAAATTTAATATTGTTTTCAACAAGCAATTGAGTTTGAAATCGGTGCTAAATGTGCTTTGTTAACTTTACGACTTCCAAACTTCTTAAATAGAAACATCTGAGAAGCTAGTTTTTATTTGTTCTGAATTTATTCAGCTGTAGTGGTATTAGAAGTATGTATTGTGATGAACTACTTGTTTTTTGAAATGTAGATTTTACTTTCTTAATTGCTCTCTGAGAAAAAATGGAGTCATTTAATATTTAAGCCTGGGATATTGAAGTAAAGTATGTACATCAAAAAAGAAGCTACAATGGAGGGTGGTGTGCAAACACCATTGTCGGGAGTGCCTGGCTTGCCACAAGACGACACCCAATCTCAAGCTCGTGTTTGTTTCGTGTGTGGGGCTGTCAGTCATTCAGATCAATATTGGCTACGAGTGAAACCCACTGCTAATGCTACAGATGCATATTTCCCCTTCTTGGAATCCCATGAACCACCTGCAGGATACCGAGCTGCACAAAGGACTCCAGAAGGAGCAGTACGTGCTTGTTATCTGTGCTATACAATGCTTCTGCAACAATGGGACTGCTATGAGCGGGATAGCACTCCACATGCTCGTCGTCTGTACTGGCTTAAAAGATGTGACAATGGACCTTATACAGGGGCTGAAATGAATCTTCAGGGTGAATATGCAGCTCAAGTGTTGGGACTAGGTACTGAGGGCTCTCACAGGTAAGTTTCCTGTACCTATTTCTGAAACATTCTGCAGATAATGTTTTCGCTTTATTTTCACTGTATTTTGAAATTATTCATTTTCTCCTTTTCCTATAAGGACATTTTTGTCCGTAAAGATAGTTTTTCATCATCTCTTATCTGAATGTACATTCTATTCTTAAATTTTTCTTTATCTTTTGATACAAGTCTTTCCATAATGTAGTTTTCTTTATTGTTCTGCAACATTCTTTGTCTTATGTTCTGATTGTTAAAAAAAATACAAGTTGAATGGCATTAATGTGGAAGTTTCACTTTGCTAGGGAGCCAAGCAGGCCTGTATCTCATGAAGACAGTGTGAGCAGGCCTGGAGTTTCACCACGCTTACCTACTGCAATGAGTGTCGATGACTCACGAGGATCCGAAGGTGCTTTGGATCTTCGACATGGTCCCAGAGAATCTCCAACTGTTTCTGTGCCACCTCCAGTACCCACACCTACTGGTCAGTGTTCAGCTTTACATTACTAAAAAAAATTGTGATACTTGTATATGAAAATAATGATTGTATTTGATTTCTCATTCTTTCTTGTTATCGATTTCTTCCATTTTTATTAATTGTTTTGTGTAACCAAGAACTACTTTAGTAATTATTCAGAAAGAAGGTTGAAGAATTATCATAGAATAGTATTGTGATCTGAATCAGTCTACCTTGGAAATTTGGAATAATTTCAGAGAATTTGTTTTATTTTTATTTGCCATTGTAAACATGTACTTTTATAATAAAGTAGTTGTAATGCAAAGGAAGTTAACATTTGGAATTAAAATGTGTATATTCAACTGATTTTCTCCCCTATTGTTGCCCTTAATTCATAAGATTCTGAAGTTAATTAATAAAATTGAATGATTTATGAATATTCAGTATAATTTGTGTATGTTATCCCTGATAAATTGTTTTTTGAATTGTTCAAGTGTGTTGAGTTTTACAATATTAAAGGGTAGACTTGACAGATTTATTAATATCATCCTCTAATTTTCATGTGCAAAAAAAAAAATAGTTGCTATATTGTAATAGTTTTGTTTGTTTTATTTGCTTTTTGTATGAAAATGAAATATTCTGATGAAGCATTATTCTTCACTACACTTTTTTGATGTGTTATAGGCACTGCAAAAGGATTTGTAATATCATTCTATTTTTGCTTTGTCCTGAAAAATGCATGGTTTAATTCAATGTTAGTTTGAATTTCTTTTTGTGTTTGTTTTTTTCAGGTGGTTATGCAGGTGGTGGTAGTGGTCCAGGAACTGACATTTTAGACCTCAGCATGCCTGATAAAAATTCTGCTACTGAGGTGTGCTACGTGTGTGGTGATGAATACAAGCGTGGTTCTCTGAGCCACATAGCTGCTAAGCCCATCCAGCCTCCTCCCCTGCCTGCTGGAGGAGCCCACCCT